CTGAAAAAGATTGATTAAATTAGGAGGCAAAAGGAGCTCTATGAGGAATGCCTTTTCGTCGCCTAGAATTAGAAGTATGAGTTGGAGGATGCGTGACTTTGTGCGTTTCTTGTTGTCTTTCTTTACGCAATCTCTCTTCTTCCTCTTCCTTATTCTTCCTTATTCCTTCAACCTGACATTTTTATGATGACATCATACATTTTCCTTATTCAAATGTAACATATACATCTAACCTCGTATATACATTTTCTTTTAGACACATTGTATATTTGCTTCAATGTCCAACATGACAATGCAACACGACGTATCAATTTACCATACAAGTAATTAAACGTTATGATATTACGGGATTTCCTCATTAACCAATCATGGTGGTCCAGTTGTATACTTATTTGCTGCGATTCCACGTTAGTCTATATAGATTTAACAATCAATAAAAAAACTTGTACATTAAGCAAAAATGTAGGTGAACGGACCTTGCATCCCAAGGAACAGAAACGAAAAGGATCAAGAAGGGTTCTGCAACATCTCTCGCAGAAGTAGGACATGGTTTTGGGGGTGGAGGACGCGGCACCATGAGAGGAATTCTTAGGCTGAGGTCTTTCATTCAAGAAGAGAACCCTCGCGCTGTTGATGACGTAAGTCTGGATTCCTCTTATGTCCAATACCGTCTCTATCTCGGATACTCTCACCACATCATGGTAAGACGATCTTCTGATCTGTAGATTCATTGTAAGACAATCATCTTATCCACCAAGTAAACCAATGGTGAAGAGCCAATAGAGATATATGTATTGCAGTGTGGGGAAATGGTGGACCTGCAGGACGGGATGGTCAATGTGGAGGGAGGAGCGGCAGTAGAAGCAAAACGCAGCGTTTTGACAATAGAGGCAGAACATGTTGCACTCATTTCGCGGTGCCTCGCGGTGTAGAGCACAAATGCTGAAAAAGTTTGTCCTTAAGAGACCTTCCAGCCATTTCGGCTCCTCCATTTATCTCTCCTGTTTTCTTAAACAAATTAAATATAAATTGAAGTTTGAGACAAACTTTTATGAACAATGTAATAACTATTGAAGAACATACTCTTGCCATTTGCATTACCTTTACTAAGAT